AGTAAAAGAAGAGGTGAAGTGAAGTAGGTATATGGGATGAAGAAGTTCAGCAGAAGAATTCCCTAGCATTTGACAGACAATTGCATGTTTTAGCAAAGCTAGAAAGACTCCTGATGATATAGAGAAATTGAAGAAATGGGTTATAGAAGGATCAAGGGGATTGGTTGTTAACCATGAGGACAAAAGAGGTGCAGAAACCTCCTGTTCAGTAACAGAAGGTATGTTTAAGGAAGAAGAAGATTCATAGCTGAAGTAAAGTTGCAGGGGAAGGAGAAAGGATGAGAGATGTTCTTCCTGATTTTGTTTAATAATATACCATGCAAAATCTTGGGCTGTGAGATTGGTGTCAGCAGGGGTAGCAGTAGGCCGAAGTGTGGAGTCAAAGAGTTGTTTTTGGATTGGGAGAATAGTTGCTGATGAGAGATGTATAAAAGTCTTGGAATGTGAACGATATGGGAAGCCAATGGTAAGATTGGAAGAGAGTTGATGTAGCGGCCACTCAGATAGGGACACGGGTTATGGAAGGAATTGCTTGAGAAGGACAGGAAAGAAAGGGGTGAGAACTAAGGTTGGAGAGCAGAGAAGCATAGGTGGCTCTCTAATTGGGTAATTTAGATAGCTGCCTTTTGCCTCATGTTCACTGGGGTCTTCCGGACGCCTAGCTCACCTAACTGGATAACAGTGCCTGTTAAACAGGGCCTGATAACAGGGACTGTAGCATGGGGCAAACAGCAGATGGCCACCACTAGAGAGTTGCCCACTATTAGGAGGTGCAAGGAGCGTTAGCAGCCAGGTGCTTCTCACACTGCCGGAGGTTTGGGGCAGGAAAATCATGCACTAGCATAGGTGCTGAGCATCAGATAATATTGCAGGTGTTCATGCAACAATTGTTGAAAGCATGGTAAAAGGTTATATCTGTGAAGGTGCTGGTATGTACTTGGCTGCCTGCACTGGCAAGCTCTGTTACACTGCAATACATCAGGAAGCTACTGAAGAAGGAAGCTTCTCTCTTCTGGAGGGAAGGAAAATGTGATGCTGCTCCCAGTAGTCAGTAACAATAGACCACCAGGGTAAGTGGTTTAACTATTTATTGTGCTGGGGGAGTGAGACAAACAGGAATTGTAGAGGGAGGGAAAAATATTTAATGAGAGAGGGAGATGAAGCTGGTGGGGCAGGGGGAGATAAAGAAAGGAAACTCTGTGTGAGAGATGGAGATGGAGTTGGGGGTGAGAGGGAGGTGGAGCTGAGGGGAATAGAGGGGTGAATGGGATATGGAGCTGGTGGGAGAGAAAAAAAAATGCTGCCTGTAAAGAAAGGGGTGAGAGAGGGATGCATGGGAGAGAGGGAGACTGAGTGGTGAGAGATAGGGATTGAGCTGGGGGAGAGAGGAAGATTGTGCCTGTATGCAAAGGCTTCCAGGGCAGGAGGGCCCATAATCATGTTTTGCAGTCCACAAGGTGTCCTGTAATGCTACGTGGTCAGGTTGTGCACTAGACCACATTGCAGAATTGGGTGATGGCTGACATTTCAGGCATGTGAACAGTACTTGGACTTATGCAAAAGCCAAAATTCGTGTTTTACAGCAGTTTCACAGTGATACAGAAAAAAGAGATTGGGTTGTTAGATGCTGTTCAGAGTTCTTCCTTGCGGTCTTGTTCTGTCAGGGTTTTTACATTTATATATAAAACAAAACAGATTTAAAACAGATTTAAATTTTAACCTGAAACAACATAAAAATAGGGTGTGCTGCAGGCACTTTTATGTGTGGTGTATACATTTTTATATAACATTCTTTGTTTTTCATAGCCAATAACGAAGTGCCCTTTTGTGACAATGCTAAGGCTTTCGCAGGAGCCGCTGCATGAATGCATATTCGTGCCCAGGTATAGGCTTACGCAGAAGCCGCACTAGGCATACATACATTGATAAGTGTATAGGCTTGCGCAGAAGCTGTTTTCAAGCGGTTCAGTTGTGTAAAGATGAAGCGCGATACTTTTAGACTAATATGCACGTTTACTAGCGCTTCCATTCTCGTCAGTGGTTAATTCTTCATTTTGTGTTTTAGGGCCACAACTCTACATGGTTTGTCAATTGGGTCTTGTTTTGAGTACACCTGTCATTTTGGTTAGCATGATGTTAGACAGTTGCTAACTAGTAGTTATTTAACATTCCTTAACATTCCTACAAGTAGAACATACATGAAACCACACATTGCGCTTAATGAAACGGTAAGTCGGTGTATCCGTGTCCGCAGCCCGGACGAGGGTCGTCATGTCCCCCCCGCCACCCCTCCCATGTGAGTGCTTGCTTCACTTGTTAACTCTGCGTGTTATAAAATCACTTGGATTTTTTTTTCATTATGCCAGTGGGGAGCCTATGTTCAAGTTTTGCCTAGCGCCTCGCTGTCTAGAGCTTTAGGATGCTGGTTGAGAGGCACATTGTCAATGAGTCAAATAATCAAATAGCACTTTTTATGAAATTAACCCATTTAATGGTTCACAGTGCCAATTTAATATTTTTGGATAAGCTTTCCAAATAATTTGATATTTAATAAACTTTTAAAATTATGTTTATTTTGAATTAAAAAAAATATATATCAATATATCAAAAAATATTAAAATATTTTTTTAAAATATTCGATTTTAAAAGTTTATCCAAAAATATTATATATATATATATATATATATATATATATATCTTATATAAAAAGCTTATTCAACAATATTAAATCAAAGCCTACAATGGCTCTTTCAGCAACAAGTAAATCAACTGCAATGTATTTTATTCCCCTCACACTGCCTTGCCTAATAGTAGGACTATTACTTAACTTTCATAACTGCATGTTAGATTGCACAGCATTTCATCATTTTTTTTAAACTCCCACAGGACTCAGCTTGTAGTTTGTTTGCAAAAGCCTGCTAAAATAAAATCTCTTCACTGCCAGGTTATTGTCAAAACAATGACCACAAAAACAAGGAAGTAGGATATTTTTTATTCTGAAAAGTAATCCGTATTTAATTTTTCCAATCAATATCTTTAATTACAACATTGATAGTATAAAAATTAAATAGATGTTGATTAACCCCTCCACACCCAAGAGCTTAAAAAAGAAAAGATGCTTTATTTACGTACAATCATTAAACTACACATAAAAAACCCAATACATTTATAGGTGTGTGAACCTATACTTAAAATAAAAAAAATATACATTACAGTTTTGTATTTTGAAAGAGAATAAACAGTGCAAGTGGAATATAGACAAACATATAGATCGTGTCATAAAGTATAAATGAATAAGTCTTGTTGACGGATGATATTTTCTCTTCATAATGCTTGTTTTTAGAGCAGATTCCATGGACAGGGTTTTCACCAAATAAAATCTTTTGTGATTAGCATGGCTTCACCTCAATAAAAAATTTTATAAAACTAAATTAACACAACAGAAACAACAATATATATCAAAGTAAGGTGTGCCTAGGGTGGGGGGACAACCAGTGTCACCTATATTTAATGTTTTTGATACTGCTCCCATGGAGCCCAGATTTTGTTAAATGTGGACAATGTATTTCTAACCTGGGCAATCAGTTTGTCCATCAAGCAAGCATTCTTTATTTATTTTTTTATAACCTGAGCTAATAGTGGCGCTTCTGGTTTAACACCTTAGTGACCAGACCGCTTTTCAATTGTCTTACCGTTAAGGACCAGGGCTGTTTTTACATTTCTGCGGTGTTTGTGTTTAGATGTAATTTTCCTCTTACTCATTTACTGTACCCACGCATATTATATACCGTTTTTCTCGCCATTAAATGGTCTTTCTAAAGATAACATTATTTTTTATCATATCATATAATTTACAATAAAAGAAGTGATAAAATATGATGGAAAAATGTAAAAAAAAACCACACTTTTTTGAACTTTGACCCCAAAATCTGTCACGCGTCTGCAACTGCCAAAAAACACCCATGCTAAATAGTTTCTAAATTTTTTCCTGAGTTTAGAAATACCCAAATGTTAACATGTTCTTAGCTTTTTTTTTGCAATAAGTACACTTTGCTATTTCCAAACCCCTTTTTTTTTTTCAAAATTAATGCATTGTAACACGGATAGCTGTCAGGAATCCCTGAATAACTCTTCACATGTATATATTTTTTAAAAGAAGACAAGGTATTAAACTTGGGGTATTTTGACTTGTTTCATGCAACCATTTTACCACCAATCTATGCCAAATTTTAAAATTCTGACAAATAGCAATTTAAGAATACGTGTACTGAGAACTTTAAAGGACCACTATAGTGCCAGGAAAACATACTCGTTTTCCTGGCACTATAGTGCCCTGAGGGTGCCCCCACACTCAGGGACCCCCTCCCGCCCGGCTCTGGAAGGGGGAAAGGGGTTAAAACTTACCCTTTTCCAGCGCTGGGCGGAGAGCTCTCCTCCTTCTCTCCTCCTCCGTTCCTCCTCCTGGGCTGAATGCGCACGCGCGGCAAGAGCTGCGCGTGCATTCAGCCGGTCACATAGGAAAGCATTCATAATGCTTTCCTATGGACGCTTGCGTGCTCTCACTGTGAAAATCACAGTGAGAAGCACGCAAGCGCCTCTAGTGGCTGTCAATGAGACAGCCACTAGAGGATTAGGGGGAAGGCTTAACCCATTAATAAACATAGCAGTTTTTCTGAAACTGCTATGTTTATTAAAAAATGGGTTAACCCTAGCTGGACCTGGCACCCAGACCACTTCATTAAGCTGAAGTGGTCTGGGTGCCTAGAGTGGTCCTTTAAGGATTACTGCCAAAGCACTCTCAAATACGTGTTCCGCAACATCTCCTGAGTACAGTGATACCACCCATGTATAGGTTTGTTGGGTTCTTTAGGGGCTAAATTACCTTATTTGGAGAGTGTGCATTCCACTTTTCCAACTTGGAATATTTTCACAGCTAGTCATCATGCACCCATGTCCTATTTGGGACATCTTTGAAGCTGGCCTATCGATTTTACCCCCATCAAACCATATATTTTAAAAAACATAGACAACCCAGGGTATTAAATATGGGGTATGTCCAGTCTTTTTAGTAGCCACTTAGTCACAAACACTGGCCAAAATTTGCATTTATATTTGTTTGTGTGTTAAAAATGCAAAAACAACAATTATGAACGCTAATTTTGGCCAGTGTTTGTGACTAAGTGGCTACTAAAAAAGACTGAACATACCCCATTTGCAATACCTTGGGTTGTGTTCTTTTGCAAATGGTATGCCATCATGGGGGTAATTCTCATTCCTGGGCTACCATACACTCTCAAAGGCAACATAAACAATCTGGCAAATTTCAATGTGAAAAACGGCCTTATATTTGACCCTGTAACTTTCAAAAACACTATAACACCTGTACATGGGTGGTACTGTTATACTCTTTAGACTTCGCTAAACACAAATATTAGTGTTTCTAAATCGTTAAACGTATTACAACAATGATATCACCAGTGAAAGTGCCGTTTGTGTGTGAAAAATGCAAAAAAAACTTTACTTTCACTGATAATATCATCAATGTGATATGTTCTTCTATTTATAAACAATAATATTTGTGTTCAGCAAAGTCTACTGAGTAAAACAGTACCCCCATGTACAGGTTTTAGGGTGTCTTGGAAAGTTACAGGGTTAAATATAGTGCTAGCAAACTTAAATTCTCTAGACTTTTGATCTGGGTTGTCAGGCAGGTCACGCAAATTGCAATCAATAAAATTACTTAATTATGAAAAAAATATTTAAAAAATATGCACGTAGAATTTAAATATATACACATTTGAAATCTATGTGTATATTTATGAAAATATTTATGGAATTATGTATATGGACATATGTATATTTTCTATTATTTTTATCTCTCTCTCTCTCTCTCTCTCTCTCTCTCTCTCTCTCTCTATATCTATATCTATATTTGTGTTAGGTGCTCATGATAGTACAGAGAAAAATACCATAACGAAATGTAGGATAGTAAAAAGAGCAAGTTGGTTGTGGTGTGCCGGAACCGACGATGAGGTAGGCCTGAGAAAGAAGAGGACTTACAAAGGAAAGAGAAATAGAAAGAAAAATAATGTTAAAATGTGGTGTGGTGGGAGGGTCATGCAACGCTGACCTTGAATGGTAAGAAGCAAGGTAAGGGGTGTGCCTTAAGTAGGCTAGGAGTGGATACCAAGCACCTCCCACAAATACAGGCCAAATTGCCTTAATACTTGTGTTAGGTGCTCATGATAGTACAGAGAAAAATACCATAATGAAATGTAGGATAGTACAAAGAGCAAGTCGGTTGTGGTGTGCCGGAACCGACGATGAGGTAGGCCTGAGAAAGAAGAGGGCAAAAATTAAGTAATCAAATTACAGACAACCAATAGAGATACATATATCAACCAGACATTTTTTTGAAAGCATCCCTTAATTCATGAGTAAGCGGATGATTTCCAGCGCCCCAGTATTTTTAAAACATAAACTGGAATGTTGACACTTGAGGCTGTGGATGCCACCCCTATGCAGAAGGAGTGCCCTGAGTAGTTAGCTGCATTGAGGACCAGTTGAGTGAGTAAAGACTTGACGTAGGTCATGAAGGTTGTAGTGGTGAGTACCGAACTTTGTAATAGGAATAATGGTTGTGATGGTAGTAAATTATGATACTGTATGTATGCATGCATCAATAATCTTGATGGGGCACCACCTGTTGTGTGTGGGATAGTATGTTATTTTTACTGGTGCATTCTGACTGGTTTGGAGTGAGGTAGAGTCAGGATGTAATGATCCATTTGTTTTGTTAAGTGGAAATAGAGGAGAATAGGAGTAGATAGTGTCACGTTGGCTGTAGTGAATTCTCTAGGTCTTAGGAATCCATAGAAAGCTATGTATATTGCTGCTTTGATGACAGAATTTGTGTTGGTGTCAAAAGGTTTTAAATCAAGCAGGTCAGACAATGCTTTGAAGATATGGTTGTCTATGGGTAGCCTCTGATGTACGTGTGGGTTCAGATCTCTGAATGCCTCTAAGAATAGTCTTAATCTGGTGAGATGCCATGAAACTTATGTTGTTTGGTTGTAAGATTAGCATATGGTGTTGAATGCCTGTGAGATAAAGTTTGATGGTGTTGTATGGCATTTTAAGTTTAAGGTAGCAAAAAGAAGCAAAACCCCAAAAAGATGTCATGACAAAAGGTTGCATGATGTTATGTTCCAAAAGGAATCTTTTGAATAATGTAAAAGCCCTGTTGTATGTTTTGTGAGTATTTTTTGACAGTGCCAATTGGGACAGTGCCCTGCTATGATGCATGATGGTGTCTAGTCCAGAATTAGTTGTTGAAATGTTGGAGTAGTGGTGGCTGTGAGCGCAGCTCACGGGAGTGCTTGATGAAATGCCTGAAATTTAAAACGAGACAAACTGTCAGCAGCTGTGTTACATACACCTGAAACATGGAAACAATACAGGAAGAAATTATGACAGGCCGCCAACCAAGTGAGTTTCCTCAGAAATCTCATGATCGTAAGGGATTTGGAACGACCTTTGCTGATGATGTGACAGGTTGCCTGGTTGTCTGAGTAGCAACGTACTCGCATGTTTGCCCATAAATGACCCCATGCTACGGCAGCCGCCACGATGGGATAGATCTCAAAGAGAGCTGAGGTAGTGGAAAAACGTTCCAAATCCTGAACTGCTGTAGGCCAGCTGCCCCAAAGCCATTCGTGCCCAAAAATTGATGCAAAACCTGTGGTAGATGCTGCATCTGACCAAATGGTAGGTGATGAGTCAGTCAATTGAGGGAGGAACATACTTTTACCATTCCAATTGGTTAAACAGTCCTTCCACATGCGTAAGTCTGCCGTAGCTTGAGTATTTAAGGACAACCTGTGTGTGTCGTGTAGGAAGAGTGGAAAAAGATACAAGAGTCGTGATATGAAGGAGCGGCCTTGAGGTATGATACGCATGGCAAAATTTAGTGAACCCAGCAGGGACTGTAGCTCTTTGTGGTTGCAAGTACCGAGCTGAAGGTAGTGGTTGATGTAGGTAAGAATGTTCTCTATCTTGTCGTGTGGTAGGCTTGCTTGCATTGTGGTTGAGTCTAATGGAATTCCCAGGAATGTGATAATCGTGTCTGGCCCCTCCGTTTTCTTAGGGGAGATTGGGACACCTAGCTGCTCGAATAGCTTGGTGGTAGCTTTGAGGCTACTGGGAGGGGAAGTATTCTCCTCGACCAGTAAGAAATCATCCAGGTAATGTAATACAGTAGGGCATCTGGCTATGTTCAATAGTAACCAGCACAATGCTTCGGCAAATGTGTTGAAAATAGCTGGGCTACTTTTGGACCCAAAAGTTAAACGGGAGAAAAAAAAAAAATAGTAGTTCCCGGACCACTTGATGCCATGCAGGTGCCACAGTGTGGGGTGGATTGGCAGCAATTTAAAGGCATTAGTAATATTGGTCTTACTAAGCCATGCTCCGACCCCTGCTTCTATGATAGCTGTAATGGCGTCATCTATGGTGGTGTATTGCAAGGAGAATTCTTCGGAGGGTATGAGGGAATTAAGACTGGGGTTAGCCGATGAGTGTGGTGCAGATAGGTCAATGATGAGTCTCTGTTTAAGGGAAGATTTCCCTGTGACAATACCAATGGGGTTAGTGCACCATTCTTTGAACGGAGGAGCCTTGAAAGGCCCCAATAAGAAACCCTCAGCGACTTCTTGGGCTAAGAGAGTGTCAACAGCTGTGTGGTTGTGTTGTGCGGATTGTAGATTAGGGCATTCCAGAATTCTGGATGGTATGTGTACAATACCGTGTGGAAGCCTTCTGTTAAACCAGAGATAAGAAAGTCTACCAAGTGTTTAGACGGGTGATGTGACAGAAATGCTGCAAATACCGAAATATTTATGGACCTTAGGTAAGGCTTAGAGTACATTTTATTTGGACACATGGTTTTTGCATGTGCCCTAAAACATTTTAAACAGATATGCAATAATCTGCAACCGCTATAATTACAAGACCCAACATTGAAATTATTACATATCTGGGACTTGATCGGGTGTCCCAGTTTGTCTCTGGTCAATTTCTCTGGAACACCAGAGGAACTAGCTCCTTGCGTGGAGGCATGTTCATCCGCCGTGTTGGGACAGAAATTTGTCTTATGTGCCGTAGAGGAGCAATATTCACAAGCCGGTGTTCTTAGACCTGCAAAGTGTCTGCAAAATATGACGGTATCTGTAACAAAAAGCACAGTTTGCCTGAAAAAGACCTATGGATTACAAGGCAGTTCGGTACTTTGCAAGCATTCTCCATGCGAATGCTTACCTACCTCTAACAGGCCACCCTGACTGTTAATTGAGACTAATTTACCTCCCTGCTTGATGGGCATTTTTTGTCGAAAGACCGCACGAACGCTATGAGAGCTGTAAGCCCAGCCGCCATTTCGGGACTTCCATGTGTTCGCGGCCATTTTAACTCCTGAACAGCGGTGTTTGCCGTCGAGTGTCTGGAACTAAAATTGGACACTCAAATAGGCGAACACCGCTGAGACCTCCATACCTTCGGGAAAACCTCGCCAAAACTACCGAACGACCAGGCATTCGGTAGAAAGAATCAGCAACAGATGGGGATTTCAGCAAACCCAGGATGGCATACGGATGGCCGGCCGTTCGGGAGTTTTTACCCACAATCTTAGACCGACTGCAGGGCCAGCATTCATGGAACTGTTTTCGGCTACTGTGCCCGTGTGGTCGGTCAAAACTTCTAAGTCCCATATCTCCCGAACGGCTGAACCGAATGGGCTGATTTTTAAATGTTAGTACCATAGATACATGCTATCTGGGGATACCAAATTTATGTCTGTACCCCAAGTATTTGGGGTACATCCGAACTTTGGGGAAAATATGTTCCTTTTTAATTGTGTTATTTAGTTATCTAAGGGGAGGGGATGTACAGAATGTATATTGTATTGATTGGTTATACTGCTAATTATGTGGGTGTCTCCCTTGCATGGGCAGAATCGCATAAAAGAGAGTGTCTTCTTGACCCTTCAAAACGTAGCCTCGTCTCGTTCTTGAAAGGGGAATCTATGCAGCTTAATCACTTGGCTCTTTTCAGAGCTGTACTTGGCTTCCACTCCGGATCCAGCAGAAGGGAATAGGCGACTCCATCACTACACAGCGACTTGCCGGGAAGAAAAGAACATCCCAAACGGCTGGTACCCTCACCATACCAGGGTAGCCATTACAGTATCAATCCTTC